CGCAGCAAAGGGCCGCAGGTCGGAGTCGAACCCATGGCCGCTGCAGCAAGGACTCAGCCTTGGTACATGGTGGCCCAGCTCTACTAGGTGAACTATCTAGGCGCCCCATGAATACCATTTTAACGAGAGATTATACACTAAGTCAAACTCTGCTTTAGCCCCTTACAAATATATTCAGGTATATCTAATAAAGTATGATAAAAAGCTGCCTTATATACAGCTTAATGATTTATTTCTAATTGCCAGATTCATTCATCAATCATTAACTGATTGACTAAATTGTAAATGTATTGATTTATTTGGCCTCATGTCTTAATATTTATGCATTAGAACATTGTTGCTTGTCTTGTTATTAGGGATGGCTCGATCCCACTTTTTCATGTCCAATACCACACTTGCCGATACCAATACAAAGCTGTGTTTATCCCCCCCATAAACAACTAAGCTGTTAATAATAATAATACGATATTATCGCAATAAAAAACACTACAATGTCTGCATAAAGTTAGAGGCGGCTGTGGCGCAGAGGCAGAGCGGGTCGTCCCCTAATTGGAAGGTTGTGGGTTCAATCTCCGGCTCCTGGTGCCACATGTTGAGCAAGATACTGAATCCTGAATTGCTCCTGATGCCGTGCATCGCAGGTAGTGAATGTGGGTGATGAATGCGTTGAGTTTCTGTTTGATGGGCTTTGCCATTCACTGGTGAATGTGTGTAGAAAGGGGTGAAAGTGGCAGTTAGGTGAAAAGCCGCTTTGAGTGGTCGAAGACTAGAAAAGGCTCTATACAAGTACAGGTCCATTTATCATTTAGCTAGTTAGCTAATATTAGGCACTAAGGATGGGATGATATTATTAAAACATAATTTACACATAAGAGCCACCAAGTGCAACCACTTTCCTCCAATGAGGGCTTGAGTCATTGTTCTAAGTTGGAAAAAATAAGTTTCTGGTTTCATTTGCCTGTTTTGTTAATATTCCACTTTTTTCATTTTTAAAGTGGTGGATAAATAACACTGACATGTGATGTGATTCTCAGTCAGATACAGTAACAGCTTCACTGGAGCAATTCAATTGTTAAATGCCTTGCAGAGGGACACACTGCTGATGGCTTTCGAGAAAGGAAATAACAATACAGTGACTTCCCGTTTCAGTACAGGTTTTCTATAACTCAGGAAATACAAAAAGATGTAAATTATATTAACACTATTCCTTCTGCTGTGGGTAACAAATTAAATAAGAAAGAAAAAAAAACATTCACACTCAAACTTGCAAACACACACATCCGGGGATGTGTTAAAACCTATTTTCACTTTTGTGGTGAGCAGTTTGTAAGACACACCCAATAGTGGCTGCTGCTTGCTACAACGCATGAAAATGTCCACAGATAACACACTGAGCTAGCATTACCTACAGAACTCAAACTGGATCCTGACTGGGATCATTTGAAACTCAAAACAAAAACAGTTTTTGAAGAGGGATCACTCATGAATGATCTTGTGCATCCTGTTTTATGGTGCTTTAATGCATTAGTTTGTGTCCTGTATTGTTCCATCTGTATTTCTTGTGAATTGTACTATCTCCTGTGTATTTGTTGAGTTTTATGTATTTTAGAGGCCCATCATGGGCATTGTGAATTAGTTTAGGCTTTAAATGCTGGGGTGTGTGGCATTTTTAATGCTACATAATTGTCCCTATACAGATAAACAATAAAATACAAATAAATGATTCACTTGCATACAATTCCTCCAAGATTAGTGTTTGACTTTTGAAACCAAACAGGCGTCAAGACAACCTGGGTTTACTGAACCAGAATACAAAGGACTGTTGTTTCTGCCAAATGACAAGTCAGGTCTCTAAATTACATTATATTTGTAAAGAACTCTAAATGAACCACCACACACTGCTAATTTAGATTTTGGACTATGAGGTCCTGCGACCTACCAGCACCAGACTGTTGTTGGCAGTGCATGGGGAGTTTTTTTTATGAGTTATATACATTATATATGTATTATATGTGCACATGTATATTTCACATGTATTCTTAAAGTTTACCTGATCTTGACTCGTGTCTCGAGGGTACTGGATCTCTGCTGCAATTAAAGCTGCAGACAGAACGGGGCTTTGAGACAAACAGCTTTTGCACTGCAGAAATCTGGTAACAGAGCCCTCCTCGGGGTTCCAGATGGCATTATATGCTGCATGAATGAGAAGCAGTGGGAAAGCGTGCAACTTTACCGACTTTACCGACTTTAGAGGGGAAAAAATATGCCATAAAAGGATCAAAGTGAAAGGTTAACATCGTCACTGTGCGATGGCGTTTCCTTTTTTTAATAGAAAACACATATTGCTTAGGAACTTTCCTTGCAGTACAAGATTAGCAACAATCACTTCTTGTGTAATTCTTGTGTAATCAAACCAGCTGTCAACCCACCAGTTAAACAGTAGGGTTGCAGAGCAGTCCTCAGGGCCTTCAGTGAGGTGAGACTCCGGACTACCAGCAGTGAGTCTGACTGGTCTGGTACTGATGGCTGATGTGGTGCACACTGGCAGCAGCAGGTCGTTGCTGCAGGACTTAATGTGTCTTTTCTCAGAAAGGTTAGATGTTCTGATTTACAGACAGCACGTCCTAACGCACCTGAAACATGAGGTCATAACAGTGAAAGTTCAATCAACTGTCGCAATCAAACACATTCACTTTCAGTAATGGTTTGACTTTTGTAGCTGCGGTGAATAAACTAAAACGTAACAGGGATTTCTCAGAAATTACCATGTGCCACAGGAAGTAGTTCCTTTTCACACGTAGAACAATAGAGTCCCAAAGAGCATGGCTGCTGGTCTTTGACTCTCTGCAAGTAAAACATAGGCTTTTTATTGACCATATCTGAAAACTTTCCTTGCATATCCAAACTTTTATAAATGGCTGTCAAGAAGCATCTTTGAGGAGTTCACCAAGACACTGCCCACAGAGTTTTAAGTTGTTTCTAAATGCTCATTTTGTCCTCATGGATCTGCTAGCTTTGAGAGCAAAGGTTCACAAAGTCTAAATGATAACATTTTTTCTCTTTCAGTGCTGCTCTTTGGTCATAAACTGCACTGCTTTTAATGGCTATGTTGACATCAGAAAGCCCCCCCCCCCTTCAGATCCTTTGATTTTTAGTGTTCACACAGGATGTGGTGATATGACTCATTCCCATCCACTGTGTTTTGTGCAGCTCATAGAGAAAACAGACTAAATGCAAAAGCCATCACTGCAGTGTAGGTATATGGCCGCACTGTCAACATGTATTGCTTTTATTTATCCCAAAATGCATTTTGTGCCCTTCTGAAAGGTTTGATTTTACAATACAAGATTAACAGTCTGATGTGTGTGTCCGTTCGCTGTGATTAGCTGAGACAAAACATGTTAACTTGACACTTACCTTTCTTTTTGGAGAGGTCTTGTTAAATCTCCTACGTCGTTTTTGTTTGCAAGATCTCTGTACTTTAATAGCTTGGTTGAAAAAAAAAGTTAAGTTTTAGTTATATGAATAAGCAGCTTTCTACGTGCCACAGTATGATCTTAAGCTGAGACTTCCCTTCCCTTAGAATCTGCTCAAAATTCATTCAAATCTTTGGTTTTACACAAACTTCCTCGCAGTTATGTGTTCCACTATTTGGTTCATTGTACAGTTTATCAGTTGCTCTCTACTGTGTTTGTTATTATTGAATATAATATGAAGTATCCATAAATGTCCCTTATTAGCCAGTTTACTCAATCCCCTAGGGAAGGAAGGTTGGGAATCACTGGTACAACCTATTGAAATATCATAGTCTATTATCTATAGATACTAAAAAAGACTAATAATTGAATAAATTAACATTAACATATGATGTGATAATACAAGCCCAGAAAAGGTTCCTTGCTCTCTATTGGGCAGCAGCTTTTATGAACCTGTATTGATCTGTATTTAAGTCATTCTTTACAACTGCACATCAGTTTCATCACTCGTTAAGAACAAATACAATCTGGGCTAAAACGTGCAGGAATAAGTGCAAGTTACAGTGAGTTTAGGATCTTTTAGTCAATCTTTTGACTAATTTGATCACAGCTTTGTTTTGGTAGTGCTGTCATGTATGTGGATGTTGGACTCCAGCAGCTAAAGCAGCAGCTATTGAAATAATCCTATTGAAATTAAATACTGATTGGAACATTCAGCTAGGAAAGCACCTAGTCCTGTGAAACTCCACACCTCCAGAGGGAGTTTTGGGTTAAAAAAAAAAAAGTTTGGCACAAAACACCATAAAACATTTGCAATAGTCCCCATTACTAGAAAGCACTGTGAAACATCTTTATGACCTATAAATGTATGTACAGTATATGCTACCTAAGTATCTGGCAGTCATTATATCATGTTAAATTCTGTTAAATAACCTGGGCCCAGTATTTCAAAACCTTTAATCTAGATCAGGAGTCTCCGGATAGGATTAAATCTCTAAATTGGGTATTTCAAAACCGGTGATGTGATCCAGATAATACAAATTTGGGATACGCATCTGTTAATCCAATCCTACCAGAATCCAGACCACATGTTGTTTTGGGGTATTTCTAAACTCTAATGTGGAGATTAGGATAGTTTTGATGCTAAAAATCAGGATGATCCTGATCCCACTGGAAGAGTACATCCAGCAAGGATTTAAGGTGGATAGAGAAAATAAGGTTATTACAGCACACTAAAACTAAACTTAAAACTAGGTGTTAAAAAATAATTTTACTTAACTGAAATTTTAAAAAAACTTTAGAAAAAAACTAGCTAAATGAAAACTATGTTTATTGAGACTGGGGTGTTGACATGACTGAGAGTCAGTGTGTTTGTACTGTAATAACTAGTCTGAAATCCTGCCCCTAACAAATAGCCACATATTATAATAAAAACCTGAAACTAATAACGAAACTAATAAAAACTAAAACAAAAAGATTGTAAACAATAATGCAGATAAGTGAATATCAATAAAATGTAAACTGATCTACACTATTCCTGAACCTGTGCATATGAAAAAATCTATTTGAAAAAATCAGGACAAAACCTACGAAATCTGTTTTATCTAGGATGGCAAAAAAAGGGATTACAAAAGCTGGATAATTCTGATCTAGATGAAAGGTTTTGAAACCAGGCCCTGGTGTGATCAAATAAAAGGTTCTTGCTATGTTAAAAAACAAACAGAACTGACTGTCACACACAGGGTTAGGGTTTCTGCAGGTCTCAACAGGTTAAATTTAAGACTTTTGAAAGAAATTTTTAAGACTACCATGAATGCAGTTTAAGACCTGTTTTAAGTCCATACTGGAAAAAAAAAAAATAAAAAATGAAGGAAAATCAATATTGGTTCCATAACAGTTTTGTTTTGTAGTTGTTACAGCATGATCAATACAAAACTGTACATGAGATGTAACTGCATTTGGGCAAGATAACAGATAACACACGACTGCTGTGACTAGCTTGTATTCTCTCCTGAATGTGGTGATGGTTGATATACGGAGGTAAAAAGAAAAAACAGAAGGTCTGCAGCAGTAAATGTTGCTGACTGATCAACTACATGCTCGACACTGCTACAGTCTGTATCATTCAGGCTGAAATCCAGCACTGGCAGCAGATTGTGGCAGATGAGAACAGTTCTATTTCCCCTGAGATACTGTTGATTCAGCACTGTGAATCAAGATGTAATACTGTTCTGTAATCTTTTATTCTATCTGCCTTGCACAATGTGTTTCACGCTGTTTGACACGCTCCTGTCTAGCTAAATAGTTCCAATTTGTAATGTATTGTGTTCAACCTTCTCCAGAAATAATTTAAAGAGCATGCTAATCAACACTGTAATGTACATGCACTTATTGCTCGGACTGTACAACCTATGGTTTGTAGTCTATATAGATTAGTTACCTTTTTGGCTTCTGTACAGACTTCCTGGACTAGTAGGTCTACATCCTGCTGCTCCAACTTCTTGCCGACCCCCCATGTTTTCGTTTTTGGGAGTCACAATGTCAAACTCCTTCCTCCTTGTGAAACTAACAGGTGTGTTAGGCACTTTTTTAAGAGCTTTGTGCTCCCTCACACCCACAGTGGAGGACTTTCCTGACTCAGTCACTCTGTTGTTTACACCTGGTTTGGAGGTTTGGTCTGTCTGTTGGCAGGTCCAGCGATCGCCCTGAACCTCTGGCGGAAGATGCGCCTGGTAAGAATTCTCTTGAACTCCATTTTTTTTTGAGCTGCATACTCTGACGGGTTTGGCTCTGGAGGGTCTGCTCTTCAAACCCAGGATCATTACCTTATCTGCTCTGGCCTTGTCTGTCCTGCTCTCGCTGCTCCTGGTCTCAATCTGCTGCAGACTGACTCTCCCTACACTCTTGACTTCATAGCCTTCACCTGTTAAGTAACATTGAGTCACATTGTTAGCTAACAGGTCAATTTGACAGACATGTGTTTCTGAGCTACAATAAACCGGAAAAGTGTTAGAAAACTGGTGTTCATTCTTTAAGTCTGCACAGAGCAGAGTGGCAGCTATAAACAGCGGCGAAAGGCAACTTTTTGAGTATTCTGAATTTCGATTTGAATAACATATCCCTAGATTTGAAGGCTTACCAGACAACAAAATACTTCTACTTTTGTAATATTATGTGACAGGATTTCAAGGTCAGATAGAACTCTAGAGTTTACAAGCTACCATGGCAACAATCGTTTGATCCTCTGTCTCCACAATTACAAGAAAATAGGAACACTTACACATATTTGACTGGCCCATAGTGTTTTACTAGAAGTTTAGCAACCTTTCTGCCATAAAACCCTGCATTTAAGCCACTGAAACAAACTGAAATATGTGGCTGAAATATGTGTCACACAGTGTTAATGTCTGAATAAGGCCTTAACCAGAAAGCAAGAATAGCATCATTGCACTTCAAAGTTACCTCAGTAGTTGCCAACGGTTTTCTCAGCATAAACCCACAGCCCTACAAGAAGAGTTCAAGAACCCCTGCGTCGATACCCCCTATAATGCTCCAAATGTTTTCTTTCTGAATGGATTTTACATTGGGATTGGTTATTTAACAATATTATCTTAAGATGGATATTATTTCATGCAAGACATAGTGAATTAGAAATTAACAATGTTTAGGCTAGGTCTCTTTCATGTTTCAGTTGGTTTGTTCTGCGTTCATATAGCTAGTGCTGCATATTGGCAACAATCTGGCGATATGATAAGTACATGACACAGGGGTTCCAATTCAATATATTGCAATATATTGCAATACTCTAAGCAAGGCAAAATATTAAATTTTTTAGGAAAACTAACTAACTACTTAGTATAAAGAACACACCACAATATGCATAAATCTGAGTTTTAAAGGTTTACTTTTTTTATGAAACCAGAACAGTGGGATCTGCATTTTAATTTATTTCACAGTCCCAATATCCAACATCATAGCCTCAATTTACAATACTGCTATCTAGCGGTTGGGGGTTTAAACACAAAAACCCATAGTGTTTTTCAGAATCCATATCACAAAACAAAATATTACGATATTACGATATTTCTTACACCCCTACATACAGCTGCTAACTATGTCACATACTTGCAACTGTAGCAGGTGGTGGTCATCATATCATAGCTGGTAGTTTATTGGTTATTGACAAATATTCTAAATGTCAGCCTAAAACAAATGTATTTGAATAATCCCATCACAGTTTTCTAAAATGACACCAGTGTGGTTAAAGGTCCAACTTGTAACATTTGAGTGGATCTATTGGAAGGGATGGAAAATAATATTAATGTATAATTATCTGAAAATAAGACTTGTGTTTTAGTTACCTTAGAGTGAGCAATTTTATCGACAGAGGTAGTGGGTCTTCTTCTGGCGGAGTCCGCCATGTTGAACCTCCATGTTTCTACAGTAGCACAGAATGGACAAACCAGACACTGGCCCTAGATAGGGACTTTTTGTGGAGCTTCTCCTTGGCGCAAACACATTTTTTTTACCATATCATTTTCATTCTCTCATACCCTGGTTTCGAATCACTGTTCTAGTCTACCAATGTGGCCTGTCTACAGTTCTAACAGTAATGAGTCCAACTTTTTCAGATAAAGAGGTTAAAGCTTGCATTTTACTCTAAACTTTTGCCAGCACAAATCTGTAGGATTTCAATTAACTTGAATGTTTGGGTGCTTTTTCTGTTGCATTACCATTTTGTGATTTTGGCTAAGTCTGGTGTATTTTTTAAATAAAAATGTTGTCTTAGTGTAGCTTTAATGATTTGGGCTTAGGATGAATTAGTCTAATGGAAAAAAACACAGCCATTCACAGCCATTACTGAGTCTTTCAGCAATGCGGGCTGCCTATTAAGTGCTTTTAACACACATTCGCCGGCCTCTCCGGGCTCTGTGTTTTGATGATGTTAACGAGTGGTCATGCACGATTACATATACAAGGGTCTTGGGGAGGCAGTTGATGAGCTAAGAAAGGCTTTAATGGAACACTTGTCTACTCTGCTCGTCTGCGCAAATCACACATTGGTGAAGTTTGAGCTGTAATGAAACAAATCACATCAGTGTAATCATGTTTAATCTAATTTTTCTGTGTCTCCCTTCAACTTAGCCTGTTTGATGATTGTGTGTTTAGCATTGGCCTGATTAAATGACCTCAGACATTTAAATATGGCCATTAAATGGCTGATTACACATACTACTGATTTGCACATACATAGGTCACAAATAATCACTGTTGACCTCCACAAATCAGGTACAAAAGAAGAGGTTAAGATCTAAATGTCTGAATTATACAGGTTTTTAAAGACTGACAAATATGGAAACTACACTGTAAATGACTGGATAATACCACTGGCTTTGTTTTATGTATTTAGATTAATTCTATGCGAGTTATTTATTTGGTGAATGTTTTTTTTAACATAAATTGTAGAAGCAATAGAGCTTTTTTATGTGAAGATACACTCTAGATTCTACCTGGCTAAATCTAATGTAGTCTATTACTAACAGTCTTTGTCAACCTTAACTTTAACATAGGTGATAATGTTCGGTTTTTCTTTTAAGAAATGGAGGCTGCTGTTGTCGAAATGTTATACCGAGAAGTGGTTCTAATATATTTGTCTATCCTCGTTGATGAAATAAATAAATGTATCAAATATCATAAACCTATTTTCACTTCTATTTACAATATCTGCCTGTGTAGCAAATGTAAGAGAGTGTTCAAAGTAAGTAGCTGCATTTAGTATACTGTACAGTTTTAAGGTACTTTTACTTTGAATATTCCCATTTTATGAAAGGTTTATTTTAGGGATGCACCAATTGGGAAATTCTGGACCAATACTGATGTTTAAAATAACAATTTAAGTGATAGCCAATGGTTTTTTACTGTTATTTATTCACCCTTTTGTGGCAGGGAAACAAACAAATCTCAAAGATAAGTATCTCTGTTTTCTTGCAACTCAGTCTATTTCTGTTCTCATCAAATATGTGAGACTGAACAGCTGCTCTCTGTCCGTGCTGCTGTAAGGAGCACATCAATATTTCCGTGCAGTTTGTGCATTGCTGGAAAACAGAGGTGATTATTTCTCCAATATCCGAGTTGGAACAACAACATTTAACCAGTGCAAAACTGATGTGACAACAGATAAACATTGGCCACTGATATTGGTGAACACGTCTTACAGGACAGGCCATGTCAGACAACATGGCAATTATCAGCTGATATATCATGCATTCCAAATTTAAAGTAGTTAAAATGATCTCAACCACAACCACTACAACTTTAAAGAAGAAGTGTGTTGGATTTAGTGGCCTCTAGTAGACTGCAACCAACTGAACGCCGCTCGCGTCTATATTTGATGACCTGGGAATGAGAACAGACTGTGAGGTGAGTTGTGTGTAGGAGAAACTACTGTGGCCGCAAAAAACACCAAAGGCCCTATCTA